GTAGGCTCCTAACCTGTTCCACTTTCACCCTCTTCCGATGTCTATCCCATTTGCCTTTCTGAAAGAGAATTGAGCATCTTACCCAGGGTCCCCCTTCTTGCTTAGCTTCTTTAGGTGTACAGATTTTAGTATGTTTATCCTATATTATATGTCTAATATCCACTTATAAGTGAGTATATACCATGTGTGTCTTTCTGTTTCTGGGATACCTCACTCAGAATGATCTTCTCTAGTTCCCACCATTTGCCTGCAAATTTCATGAATTCCTTGGTTTTAATTGCTGAGTAGTATTCCATTGTGTAAATGTACCACAATTTTTGTATCCATTCCTCAGTTGAGGGACATCTGGGCTGTTTCCAGATTCTGGCTATTACAAATAAAGCTGCTATGAACATGGTTGAACAAATGTCCTTGTTGTGTACTTGAGCATATTTTAGATATATGCCTAGGAGTGGTATAGCTGGATCTTGAGGTAGCACTATTCCTAATTGTCTGAGAAAGCGCCAATTTGATTTCTAAAGTGGTTGTATAAGTTTACATTCCCACCAGCAATGGAGGAGGGTTCTCCTTTCTCCACATCCTCTCCATCATGCGTTACCACTTGAGATTTTGAGCTTAGCCATTCTAAGATGGGTGAAAGGTGAAATCTCAGGGTCATTTTGATTTGCATTTCCCTGATGACTAAGGATGTTGAGCATTTCTTTAAGTTTCTCTGCCATTCGATATTCCTCTGTTGAGAATTGTTTAGCTTTGTACCCATTTTTAAATTGGATTACTTGATTTGTTACTATTTAACTTCTTGAGTTCTTTATATATTCTGGATATTAGCCAGCTACTCTGTCAGATTATAGTGTTGGTGAAGATCTTTTTCCAGTCTACTCTGATGACAGTGTTCTTTGCTTTACAGAAGCTTTTCAGTTTCATGAGGTCCCATTTATTGATTGTTGATCTTAGCGCCTGAGCTGCTGGTGTTCTGTTCAGGAAGCTGTCTCCTGTGCCAATGAGCTCAAGTATCTTCCCCTCTTTTTCTTCTAGTAGAGTTAGGATGTTTTATGTTGAGGTCTTTGATCCACTTGGACTTTAGTTTTGTGCAGGTTGATAAGTATGGATCTATTTGCATTTTCTACATGTAGATATCCAGTTAGACCAGTACCATTTGTTGAAGATGCTATCTTTTTTCCATTGTATGGTTTTGGCATCTTTGTCAAAAATCAGGTGTCCATAAGTGTGTGAGTTTATTTCTGGGTCTATTTGATTCCATTGATCCACCAGCCTGTTTCTATGCAAGCACCATGCAGTTTTTATTACTGTTGCTCTACAGTATAGCCTGAAATCAGGGATGGAGATACCTCCAGAAGATCTTTTATTATACAGGATTGTTTTAGCAATTCTGGGTTTCTTGTTATTCCATATGAAATTGAGACTTTTTCTTTCAAGGTCTGTGAAGAATTGTGTTGGGAATTGCATTGAATCTGTAGATTTCTTTTGGTAAGATGGCCATTTTTACCATGTTAATCCTGCCAAGCCATGGGCATGGGAGATCTTTCCATCTTCTGATATCTTCTTCTATTTCTTTCTTCAGAAACTTTAAGTTCTTTTCATACAAATCTTCAAATTGCTTGGTTAGAGTTACTCCAAGGTACTTCACGTCCTTTGTGGCTATTGTGAAGGTGTTGTTTCCCTCATTTCTTTCTCAGCCCATCTGTCTTTTGTATTGAGGAAGGCTGCTGATCTTTTTGAGTTCTGAGGGATAACCGCAAGCAATGGCAACACTTTGTCCTGTTGGAGGAGCTCTGTGGGACCTAACAATTATGCATTCCTCCCCCACCCCACACAGGCTGCAACCCCCCCCCTTACCACCAGCTGTTACTAATGGCTGGTTTCCAGGATTGTGAAGGTAATAAGGAGCTTCTGATCAGGATCTCTGTGATTTCGAGACCAGCCTGGTCTCCAGAACAAGTTCCAGGTGTGCCAAGGATACACAGATACAAGGGTACTCAAAACCAAACTAAACAAAAAAAGCAGAAAGACAGAAAAAGGAAGCACTAAAAGCACACTAACGTCTGATTACGCTACCATGGTCCTCGAGTGCGGGCCCTGCAGGCATACACCATCATGCCAGCTCACCGGTACCCTATGAATCGCCACTCACAAGAATGAAATGAAGAGTGTGTTCATGGCGTATGTGAAAGAACAACCAAGATGTGTGTTTCCTTTTCACTACAGAAAAAAAGTCAGAAAAAAACAAAACTGTATTTTTTCCACCTACCTTTTCTTCCTGCCAGAATTTGCCCACAGCCAGGTGCAGTGGTACTTGGGGAGGCAGAGGCAGGCAGATCTCTGTGAGTTCGAGGCCAGCCTGGTCTACAAAGTGAGTTCAGGACAGCCAAGGCTACACAGAGAAACCATGTCTCAAAAAATCAAAAACAAAAAACAAACAAAAGAATTTGCTCTCCTTTTTATACCTAAAAATAAACTTCCTTCCCTGCTATTATTTCTAAAAGCCTTGGGTTAGGTAGTGGGCTGAAGAGGCAGAAATATGAGGAAAATGCAATGTTCCAAAGCATCAAAGGAGGAGGGGAAAGCCAACCTGACTAGGAAGGGGAGAGGAGTCTATTGTATCCACAAGGGGTATAGGAAAACTTGAAGAAGTTAGTTGAATACATTGATCTTTTAGGAAGGCTGAACTGGAAAGACCTGACAAATAAGAGGAAATGGGTTTAGACATTGAGCATGTCAGAATAGCTATGCCTGATGGAGGCACCAAAGCCTTTTCCAATTTCTCAGTTTACCCCCACTGTTCCTGGAGGCCCTGGCCATGAGGGCCTGGCTTAAGTCTGGCTGTTCACCTAGCATGGACAAAGCCTTGAGTTTGACCCCAAGCATTTGCCAAAAGGAAACAGACAAAAGTTAATGTCATGGGGTTATACCACCTGTTTTTATTGAAGTATCTAATAAATTTTAATGTGTAAACAACAAAGAAATCATTATTTGGTTCCTCTAGAAAATAAACTAGATAATGAAAATATAATTTTTTATGAAATCACATATATTATGGATTTTCTTTCCCTCTTTATACTCACAAGCTATAATAATATATTAATAAACATATGTATTTACCATACATATATAGCTTACCCTTCTAAAATACTGTATTTAATGTTTGATGATTTTATATATCTACATAATGTATTTTGATCATTTTTAACCCATCCTCCCTCTTATACCACTCCTACTTCCTCTGGAACTCTTCTTCCAAACACATCTTCTTCATGTTTTTTTTTTTTTTTTGTCCTAATAATGAGTTTAATTAGGGTTGCTTTTATGTGTGCGTGGTTATTTGCTAGATCATGGGCAATTTACCATTGGCTATATCTCTGACGAAAAACGATTCCTCTTCCAGCAGCCATTAACAATAGCTCCTCTGCTAGGGGTGGTACCCCAACTTCGCCTTCCCTATTTAGGTTAGAATGTCAAGGGGCTAAATTTTGTGATCTTAGGTAGCACAGCTGCTGTGGTTCAACAGCGCAACAGCTATGTCCTGTTCAGAAAACAGGGCTCACAACACCCTTCCTTATCCTCCAGCCATTGCATTCTTTCTGTTTCTTTTTCCACAATGTTACTTGATTCTTGGTGTGTGTGTATGAGACAGACAGACAATTCATTTAGAACTGAGCATTCAACAGTCAATTATCCTCCACACTCTGACCAGTTAATATGTCTCTGCATTAACCACTGTCAGCTTTTCTGACCAAGGTTGAGAACAGCCCTAATCTGTGGATATAAACAGCCCTAATCTGTGGATATAAACACAAATATTTAGAAGACAGAGTGATAACATATCCATTTTTCAAAACACTAGTATGTTTTCTCTGAGACCCTGTGACCTCTCTGGCCATTACCACCTGATGTAGAAGAGGCTTCAAATCTAACCATAAAATGGTTGGTTATCACCATAACATTCATGCCACTATTAGGGGCAGATCTTCTGTGGCAGGTCAGTTTGTTAACAGCAGAGTCCCGATGATGTAGAAACAATTCTACTCACTTAAATATGACATGACTGAAAAATGTTTAAACTGTGAAAAAGAAGACCCTAACCAAATCACCAGTTTAACCCGCACACACACAACCCCCCCCCCATTTAAGTCCAGCTAAGTTGGAAGAGCTAAGACCTGAAACCAGGCATAGTGATGCACACCTGTCACCCTAACACTTGGAGGGCTGCGGCAGGATCAAAAGTTAGGGGCCAGCTTAGGCTACAGAGATCCAAATAACGGCCATACACCCTATATACCACTTGCCAATTTTTGTTTTGGCTTCAAAGCACACTATTCAAGCTGACAGAGAAGGTGTCACACCTACCACAGGTGTGAATGAGGCTGGTTTGCATATTTTTCAAACATAATTTACAATAGATCAAGTGTAGATTCCAACTACCTTCAATTTAACACATTGGCAAAAACATAAAAACAATGCTATTTTTCTCATTAAATATTTGTTTTGAAAAATACATTTTTTAGTTATTTTGTTGAATAGTTTTTACTCAGGTGGAGGAGTTGAGATGAGATCATCCTATGCAGCCCAGGTAGTCTGGAAATCACAATATTCTTGTTTCTGCCTTCTTGAATACTGGGATTAAGCAAGTATGCTCCATCCTACGTACCGACAGATTATTTTTAAATTAATAATGTTTTGAAATGATTTAGTTTTTTATTTCAAATGCTACTGACATTGATAAACATAGTCCACATAAATGGAAATGTCCTGGAACCTCTGATTTTGAGTTTTGAGGAGTGTGAGGTCTTTGATGTAGCCCCTGTAGCAGAGACACCTCCTCCCATAAGGGCGCCTGGGCTCTCTGAGATATACATAATGAGAAAGTCTAGAACCCTTTCTTCCCTCAAATTAAGCATATATATTCACAATTCACTCAGGGGAAATTAAAATTTCCAAAATTTCAGAGGGACTGTCAATACAGAAAATTTGATACACAGGCATTTGAAGTGGTCGTTTATTAATCTATTTAATTTAAATCCCAGTAAAATTAAGTTTTCCACTAATTTAACAGGCTTTACACCCTTATTTTTCCTCAGAATAATCTTGCATGGAGGCAGTTCCAATACGCAAATCCATGATGCAAACAGTGACTGAAAAGTACAGTGGCCCCAAGTGTCCGGGTCCACTAAGCCCTTGTGTGGCGAGTCTGGTTTGTGGCAGTGAATACGGCACACAGGGCAGCCGTGATGAGCAGATGCATTCCTTCATAGAGAAGCTTTGGAGAAAATACACTCCATATGAATAAGTGATAGCGCAGAGCCGTCACCAGAACAATGTACGTGGCAACTGGAGCAGAACAGATGAGTGCGTAGCAGAAGCAAGCACGGCTCAGTGCTGAAACACTATTAAAACAGGAAACGCGCGTCAGAGCAGTCACAGGACACTTCACTCATGCTTCCAGTTTGAAAACAATGGCCACCCTTGCTTCTGGACTAGAGTGCACCACAATCTCTCTTCTGTGTGTTTCTGGTCACTGAACACAATGGTAACTGTCCAACAGGTGAACAAGGAAAGGGAAAACTAGGCTGATAGGTCAGTGAGTAGAAGGGCGACCAAGCCTGCCAAACTGAGATCAACCCAACGACCCTACAGCAGCAGAGGAAAGCAGATTCTTACACGTGTGAGCCACAGGAGCCCACTTCCTGTGGAAGAACACTAGTTAGCAAACTATCACTGAACCACTGAAAGTCATGGCCTTGGGCTACAAGTTCCCATCATCTTTGTGTCCTATAGGGATCTCTTGAATGTGTACACAGTGGAAGCTGCCTTGTGACCAGTGGAAGCCGTGGACCAGAGAAACTAGGCAGTAATGTGACTGATCATGCCAGCAAGGCCACAGGGAGATAAGCTCTATTCATCAGAGTTACAGATGATGTAGCAAACTTGGAGCTGATGGTAGGGCCTGGAAAGCCTGACCTCTGAGAATTTGTAGGATGTGTACAGGTTATCTCAGAATGATCAGAGGTTGTGGAGGGGATGCAGAAGCTGGGACCAAGGAACTTACAATTCCAAGATTACTGAAGACTCACGAGAATAAAATACACTTTATGTAATGCTTGATAGTTAAAAGCAAAAGGAGTGGTTCCACACATCATTCCCACCATGAGCAGGAGGACACGCCCTGCAGTGGTGTGTGCTCAGAGGCAGAGTGACAAGTATGTGCATGTGATTGTGCATTTCTTGCACCTGGGTGAGTGAATTCTGGAAAACATGTTCAGTCCTGTTGGTCAAGCAACTCCACCCAAACACTTCCTGTTTTCATGCCATTGTCCAGTGCTGGGCACCCGCAGCTACTCAGTGGCCAAAAGACAAGACTGTTCTCTGAGCATCTGGCCCTCATTTTCTTAACCAGTGTCACTGGTGGACTGCTGGAGCTAACCTCATTTCCATATCACCTCTGTCTTCACTGGCTTCCCATCTTGGTCTTGGCACACTTGCCCAGTTTAGTTCTCAGCTGTTCTAGCACACTTGACCCCTCCTGCAGAGAGGGCCCCAGCCCTTCCTTTGTTTCACTTGTGATGCTTGAACTTTCTTGTCCCTACTTTGGGCTCACAGCAAGGATTAGCTTATCATATCCCAAGTGACTGCAACTGCCTCATGAACAGTGTACCAACTGGTGTAGCAAGCAGTACGCACTCAGTACAAGCCTGTGGATAAAGGGCTCTGCTCCTCTCTAGAGAGCACAAATGGGCATCTGTGCTGACCCAATGACCTACCAAATGGAGCTTCTTTCTTACCTGACAGCACATGGCACAGCACAGGGCACTGCCTGGTGGAGCAGTTTTTAGTAATATCCATGTAGAATTTTGTGCATATTGCTCCTGTAACTGTAGCGTGGGATTTCTGCATTGTGAACAGGCAGCTCACATCACCACAACTTCCAGGTTCTGGACCCAGATCATATTGGTAAACCATATTTGGGTTGTATAAAGGCCTGTAAACAGACCGCCTCAAAGTACAGGTGTGGAACATCTACAGGTGAAGTTCAGACATTCCCGTCCTCAGGAAGTTTACAGTCTGACTAAACAACATTTTCTCCCCTCGGCAGCAAAGTGTCAGCTTGTGGGAGGTCATCTCTTTCTCTCCACAACCCAAATGTGGTTTACAGAGGATGCTTTTCTTCCTGCGGAGGCCACCACAGTTTCTCTTTCTGTAGTCAGTGCTTGAACATCTTTGCCTGAGGGAGCTGCACAACCAGTGAACTAGTGTGTCATTCTAGTCTTGGGCTTGCTGAGTCAATGCTATCTGGGTACTTCCATGGAGGTTCCAGGAGGAGGTTAGTACTGAGTCTAGAGTCGAGAATTCTCAAGACTCTGGGCCATGGACATGAGCAACTGAGAACAAATCCATGAAAGAAGCTAAGGAACCAACCCAGAGGAGAAGAGAACAACCAACAACACAGGCAGGAACAAGGGCATGCAGCCTCAGCTCACTGCTGAAGGTGAAGCCTGGGGACAGCCCGAGAGGGGTCTTCCCTGACAGTCACCACAGCAAGAGCCACTCTTCCAGGCACAGGCAGAGGGAGGGGTCCGGTAAACCCCAGCTTCACTTCTAAGCCTGGGATGTGGGGCGTGGACAGGCTGGAACCTCCTGTCACAGTAAGACACATGAGGTTCTCTGTGTCCGCCCTGTGTGTGAGAGGCGTCCCAGAAGGAGGGCAGCTGTCTGTGACTCAGCAGCATTAAGAAGTGGACAGGCACAGCTGGACCAGCCTGGACAGGCTACCTACCCCAGCAGTGGCAGCCTGGAGCAAGCTGGACCCTGAGGAGAGCCTCCCTGTTGCTGGAGGCTTACAGTGGCTCAGGCAGAGTGGCACTCACTTGCCCCTAAATTTCTGTGTGTCCCACCCTGTACTTCTATTCAGCTGTCAACTGTGTGAGCAGGCAGCAGCCTAGTTGCTTGCTGACTCAGAACCTGTACAGCCAGCAACTCCTCCTAACACATACTTCCTGGACACCAGAGGGTTTCTGGAGGGCAAGAGCCCATGTCCTTTGTCCCCTTGCCCTCAGAAGGAAAGAAAGAACAGGAAAACATTAAGAGGCTCAGAGCTGAGTCTGGAGTTTTCAATCCCTTTTCCCATTTCCTGGCTGTGATTAGAAGAGTGTGACTTGCTGTGGGACATCTCCAGGCTCCTCCTGCTGACCCCAGGGACCTCAAGACTGCACTTTCTTGCCTTTGCCAGCTGGTTCTCTACCTTTTGGAGTTCGGATGCCTCATATGTACAGCAATGTTATTACTCTTAAAAAACAGATAATCTGCAATGACATTCGTTCTGAACAACAAAGTAAGTGCCTTACTTGCTTGCTTCTGAGCTCAGGAAGTAAACAAGGTGGCTGGCCCAGAGCACAGGCCCCACATATGTTCCAAACACTGTGAGGAACATGGCTGGAACTTCCATGTAGGTATCTAAGCCCACAAAGCCCGCTGAAACGTCGATGGTGGCAATGTTGTTGGAGTTACCCTGAAACACAGAAGAAGAACAAGAACAAGGTTGTTCTTTGCACACGCCAGCATGGAGGCACACTCAGAGTCAGCCCTCTGACTGCACCTTAGCTCACCAAGCTGGTGACCTAAGGTGCAGTCATATTACTCTGATCCAGGAAGTGGCTGAAAAGTACTTCTACAGGAGGAATCCTCTGAAGAATTTTGTATACTTCAATTTCTGACTGACCACAGCAGTTTCACAACTTCCTCCAGACACACCAGCGACTCAAGACAAGTGCACGGACCTCTGCCTGAGGATGACGCATGTGGTCCTGGGATGGCCCCATCAGAGTACATCTCCTAGATCCTGTCATTTTGGTAACTGCTCACTGAGTACCCACTTCTCGAATGCAGTCAAGAGGTTAGCTATAGCCTAGCCCTGCTGAAACGCAACATGGGACATGCGTATCCATGGCACACAGAGTACAATCTGATGACTACGCACATTCTATTAGTTACACCATGCACCTGGACTATTCACAGGTCTTGAGTCTATTATGGGAAATCTCTGCTGGTCTTTGTAGAGAACAGGGCAGAAAGAGTTGGGAGAATCACATCACCACAGCAATCTGAGACCAAGGCTGGTCATGGTCTGGTCACAGTACTTAAGGAATTATAGATCCTTCTAATTTAATCCAACTATCCTTGGCCTTTGGGGTCAAGGGGACAAACATGGAGTTGCTTTCTGGGTGAAGACATATGAAACCAGGAACAAAAGAAGAACACAGGAAGAAACTGACAAGACAAAGAAGAGAGGCCAGTCCTCACAGAAGAGATACGTGGAGCTGGAAAAGAATCTGCAGTAATATATACACACCCTCTCTGGGACTGCTGGAGGAACTGGATCCTCCTAAGGCCACTATCTGTCTAAGCATCCTTGTATACACCAAAACTAAGGCTTGGGCTTGCTGATAATGGATCTTTCAACACTAGGAAGAAGTCCTAGGACCCTCCAGGCCATGGGGGACTAAAAACTGGAGACACCCAAGTTCCCAATGTGGACAGCCTCAATACCAGGGGCAAAAGTACACAGAAGTGTAACTACTACATTCCTAAAACAAAACACATGAAATACCCAATGTGTTTCCTTTACTGTTTATAATAAATCAATAATCCTTTCTACAAAACAATAGCCCACTGTCTTATGGATATCTAAATGTATCTACATGGTGCATGCCTTTGTTTGTTTTTTTGAGACAGGGTCTCAATATGTACCTCTGGCTGATGTGGAACTCACTATATAGACCAGGCTGGCCTCCAACTTACAGAGATCCACCTGCCTCTGCCTCCCCAGTGCTACGATTAAAGGCATGTACCACTATACCTGGTCAAGCATATCTTTTTAAAATGACAAACTGTAATTTACCTAATAAAATCCACATAAGACTTAAGTATAATTTTCCATGCATTTTAAGTTTTTTCACCAAACACATATAACTTTCCATCTTACAACACTTTTGCAAAGAAAAACTAAAAGATAGGTGACATAAAAGTCGCTAGCCTTCTACCCAGAGCAACAATGAAAACCCACCTGGAAAAAGAAGAATGCTTGACCAAACCAATAATGCATGACAGTGATCTCGGCTGCGTCATGTCTCAGTGGCTTCCAGATGAACTTAGTCAGTATAGTCTGAATCAAGAGACTGAATGCTAACACTGGAAGATTATGTGGTCTCAAGAGCAATGCTGCCAGAAGAACTAATCCACTATGTATTTCCCACAAACCTACAGTCTTGGTTTTCAAGTCTGTTGCAATGACTTGTGCTTTAAGTAAGTCTTTGGTACCCGTGAACAGAATGCCAAGGACAAAGACATAAACAAAACGAGCTTCAATAATACCCCTAAAAAAAAAAAAATCAAAACATGTTAGATTAATTTGTACCACCTAGAAAAATTCAAGTACATACTTTCCCATTTAAAATATGTATCTAATTAGGAATGCCAAAATGTGACAACACAGCTAAAAAGAAACCAAAGGCAAATCTGGATCTACATGTGTGCCCTGGAGGAGCAGTATGGGCCATCCTGATGGAGATGACTTGGGGGAAACTTGCTTTTGTGGTGCAAGTATCACTTGATAGCAAGACCAGAGCTATGTTCTTACAACATGCCAAGAAAATCATGAATCCACTTTGCAAGGTTAAATGAAAAGCCATTGTGCTGGTTGAAGGCCTGGGTATCTGAAATTTCAAAAATGCTAACTGCAATTGAGCATGCTCATAGCCAAGTGGATTCAAGAAGAACCTCCGTGTTGACATGTGTAAAACAGACAGTGTCGGTGCAGTGGTCCAAACTGTTGAGTCTGCACTCTGCTATTCACTAGTTCTATTGTTTGGACAATGTAATTAACACTCTGACAATCAATTTCATTATGTGTGAAAACAGAAAGTGTTTTTCTACACATCACATGGTTATCCTAGGAATTACATATGTATAAAATATAGACATGAAGTATTTGGCACACAGTAGAAGCTTAGTAACTATTACGTACTGTTATGAACTAAGTATGGACTAACTCAATTTAAGTATATAAAGAATGTAAGTTATAAGACTGCCTAATAATTTCATCTTTTAAAATATATACCCCCAAACTAGCGTATTTTAAGTATAGTTTATAAATGAGGTATTTATATACTTTAAGACTGGCACTTAATGGTGGAGTGTAGTGGTATGCACTTTTAATTCCAGCACTTAGAAGGTACAGGCAGAGGCAGAGGCAGGTAGTCTGTGAGTTAGAGGCCAGCCCAGTATACAGTGAGTTCCGGGCCCAGAGTTACTTAAACATCCTGTTGAAAAAAACAAAACAAAGAAAGAAACAACAACAACAACAAAAACACCCAGGTTTGATTTCCCAGCACACATATGGTGGTTTATAACTGCCTGAAACTCCAGTCCTAGGGGATTCAATGCCCTCTTCACATACGTGGTGCACAGACACACATACAGGCAGCACACTCAGGACACATAAAAATTAATTAATTTAAAGAAAAGATGGTCACTGAAAGTTATACTAAGTAAATAAATTTTAAATGAAATAGCAACACAGCAGTGTATCTGTTTTTAAACATGAATTTCTTGCATCACAGTGTCTTACAACATTTTATGCATTAAAAACATTCCCACTTAGTATGACTATTTTAATTCAGTGGCACTGTTGTTACAAGTGAGGCAATGTGGCCCTGGCTGAGGAGCTGGGGTCCTAACATTCCTGACCATATGTGTCCTAACATAAAAGCTAAAAACAGGCCCATAAAGATTCCAGTAAAGCAGAATCCAGCAAATGTCAAAGCCATCAAAATGTTTCTAAGAAGTGCTGTGTCCCAGGAGATGACCCAAGGCCACCAGACAGGAGGGCAGAGTAGGAGGAGCATCCAGATAGGTTCCCTGCACTGAACAGTCAGCGCCTCTCATTCTCAGGGCTTCTACATGACTTTCAGTCCTAGGCATGCCTAGGTTTCTGAGTGGACAAGAAAGGAAAGATTAAAGCTTAACAGTCTACTTGGTGAATGTGGAATCAATAGATGCAGAACCAGACAGATCAGAAGCCAGGATGAGTTCAGAATATGAGCACTCTTCAAGCCAGGGAGGCCTGGAACCAGTGTGTTTTCAAAAATCAAGACAGACAAAGTGAGGGTGGATACGTTTTATAGGAAGGAGCATGCAGAGAAAAAAGGCACACTGGCTACATTCTGGACATCTCCAGACAGGCCGCTGCTAAACAGAGAAGGCAAAGTAAGGTGATCATAGCTTGAAGATGAATAAAGCAGAAACCAAGTACATAGATCTGGGTGGGAACAAGAATGCATTCACAGGCTGTACTTAGAGATTAAACAAAGCCCACAGGTAACAACTAACCTTGTCATCTGCCCACAGCTCCAGACTCCAGAAAGAGCCTTGTCTCTACACAACGTCCCAGTCTCAATCACCATCATCATGTTCCCTCTGGCTTCCTGACTCAGGTGAAGTCAAGCCGTCACACTGCTGCTACCTGCTTCAAACACCTAGTCCACCCCACCCTTACCAGCAGCCGTTTTCTGGTAAGCCTCTCAGCCTCTGGCTGTAGTCCTTGGCTCTCCATATTTGTTAATTCTAGGTATCTGTAAGGTGCCCAAGCGAGTAAAAAGTAAGGCCGCACTCTACATGTGATCTTGGGCCCTGAATATGACAATCGGTGTTTTACCCGCTGGAGTTGTACACAGCCTGTCGGGTGCGGTGGCGCCGTGTAAGCCTTACAGCCTGTCGCTTTACACCGCCCTTTGTGCTCTAGGAAGAGGGCTTCCACCTTCTGTGAGGGCTGGGCCCCACTTCTCAACAGCTATGACCTATCTATTGCTTCCAACTGTGCGTGTCGGAGGACGTGACGGTGTCTGCTTTACAGCTGCCCCTCTGTTCTTGAGAAGGCTAGCCACACCTTGCAGCCCTGACCAGCCCCCCAGTACTACCGCAAACACTAGGCTCAGGATTGGCTCTCTCGATGTGCACAGCAGCAACTCTTGGGTCTTATAAGAGTAATACAGGGAAACTCATTTCCTTTCCCAGCTACTGGGAGTATCGGTACTATTACTATCCTTGTTTTTATAGCCACACCCCCACGTGGCAAAACCAAGTCCTAGTAAATGCAGGTTGCTGTTAACTAGTTTATCACTCTATCCATTACTCCCAGGACTTAAATTATTAATTAAAAAAATGAATACAATGATCTTACTTCTAAGTTATTTCTCTCCCAAAAGAATACTAACAAAGTGGTTCATTAACGTTTTCTTGACCAGGATACAATAGCTGCAAATGAAATCACTGTTCATAAAAACTAAACTCCAGGATTGTAAGGATTAGAATGGCTTCTTTTATACAGAAAACACGGAAACATGTAAGAGTAAACCTTTGTATCTCTGGTTCACTTACTTTGAAATGCCTTTGTTATACGGTTGCCATGGGAACAGCACGACCCCAATGGCTGCCCTGTAGCAGAAGACACCCAGCAGCCCCAGTGCTAGAGCCACCTTGGATACAAGGGAGCACCCCCTTTGCACCAACAAGAAGACTAAAACCAGGGAGAGGGCAGCCAGGCCTGAGAGTTCTACTTTGTGGTCAGAGCTGAAATGAGAAAGAAAATACCCAAATTACTACCAAATGGAATTGGTGATTTACAATTATACTGAAGGGTTTCAAAAGAGTTACATTAAAATCAGATGATTTTTCCTAGAAAGCCAGAAAAACAAAGCAAAATAAAGACCAAGGTTCTTGGAATGTCACAAAGACTGCCATGCTGAGATCTTACTCCTCTTTCTTTTTCTTTCCTTCTTTTTTTTCTTTTTGGTTTTTTGAGACAGGGTTTCTCTGTGTAGCCTTGGCTGTTCTGGGCTCACTTTGTAGACTAGGCTGGCCTTGACCTCACAGAGATTCACCTGCCTCTGCTCCTTGAGTGCTGGGATTACAGGCGTGTGCCACCACGCCCGGCTTTCTTGCTGTTAGGATAGTCTCAGATGCTGGTACCGGGTAGTCAGTTCTGCCCTCCGGCACCCTTGCTTCAGTGCATCCTCTGCCTGGTTCTGCTGTTCTCTCGCACAGCTCAGTTCCCTTGGCCCCAGCCTCTCACAGGTGGCTGTCCAGAGAGGTGCAGAGGCAGCACTATGTGCTCAAGAACTCTGCCCAGGTCAGTTTCCTTTATTATTTACATAGTCCACATTCACAAAGCTTAGACAGTTAATAGTTGTTAGAGACATATTCTGGAAAGATATACATAGAAATGGCAAAAGACTTTAAAAAACTGAATGAAACTGGGCATGGTGACATATATCTGTAATCCTGACAAATAGGAGGCTTAGGTATAAGATCAGAAGTTTGAGGTCAGCCTTGAATACACAGTAAGACCTCATCTCAAAACACACACACACACACACACACAC